CGAGACAGGGTTTCTCTGTGTAGCTTTGCGCCTTTCCTGGAGCTCACTTGGTAGCCCAGGCTGGTCTCGAACTCACAGCGATCCGCCTGGCTCTGCCTCCCGAGTGCTGGGATTAAAGGCGTGCGCCACCAACGCCCGGCAATTATTATCAATTCTTATTTACAAGTAGTTTTTAATGTCTGCTATCTATAAAACAGTGCTTGGGGGAAAGATACATAATACCTACAAAGTGGACCCTGAGTAATATGGATATTAGATGGCAGGATGAAACAGATACTTGTGTAGGGGAGGAGTGTGTTTGTGAGTCTATAATAGAAGCAGTTAATTTTTATTCTTAAAGACTGTGTAGCCTTTGCTATGAAGAAGAAACCTAGTTTATACAAATGAAAATGGATGAAAAGGGTCTGTCATCCAAGGTTATAGGAATGGTTGACAAGAGAAAAGAAGTTGTCATTGTAGTTAATGGCAAATGAGAACACGGAGGCTGGAGCGTTTGCATCTGAGGCCCATAGGTCAGCATGAGTGCACTCTTCCCCCAGCTGAGGATCAGTCTGCGGTAGTGGGAGTCTGTGATATCTGTAGGCTTGTGAAACAATGGGATTTTGAATCTTATAGGATAAACTTGAGAGGCGTTGATAATTTTGAGAACTACAACGTCCTATGAGAATCTATCAGAGAAATTCATCATCTGGAGAAAAAGAGCTAAAAGAAGCATAATACATTGGCCTTATAAAGAAGTGGGTGAGGGGCACAGTATAGGCAGAGCTCACAGACTCATGAAAGCAGAGTTTCTAATTTCATTGATAAACTGAAAAAATGGAGAGAGGAATACATTGTATCATATAGCTGACTCAATAATTTAGATCTGAGATGCTGGAGATTCGAAATTGGCTTTGAGCATCCTTTCTTATACATCATTCCCCACAAGTGTAAAAATAACCTAATAATTTTCTGATGATAAAACTTTAAAAATATGCAATTTTGATATACATGAGTGATGGAACAGAATTATGCACTAACCTTCCTACTGATCCTTGAAAAATGGGGAAGGGGGCATTTTCAGTTGGAGAATCAAGAATGGAGGCTTTTTCCCCGCCTTGAGTCCACATTTCTCTGTGTAGCCCAGGAACTCACTCTGTAGACCAGGCTGGCCCCAAACTCACAGAGATCCTCCTGCCTCTGCCTCCCAATTACTGGGGTGATAGGTGTGTGCCACCACCGCCTGGCTGGCTCATCAATTCTTTTTCTGAAGAAAATAAGAAAAGAGATTGCAACTTGATAGGGATTCCAAGCGGAAGTTGGTCTTTGATGCCCCAGGAATTATTGAAGAAGTCTGTGGAAGTCACACGTCCGAGACAAGAGGCAGCAGCTCTGAAGCACAAGCGACACTTGAGCTGTAGGTCTTAAGAAACTGTGTTCCGTGAGAACAGGCTTCTGAGACCTTCTCTTCCTTACATGCTTCCTACAAATGAGTGGACCATTTCTTCAATTACAAGAAAAAGGAAAAGTGTTTTCGTTGGAAAATTTTCATTCACCTCAGGCTTTTTCAGAATCCTGTGTGTAATTGATTTAGTGTTTTGTGTCTGTCTATACTGTTGGTTTTCACTGTGTCTGCTTCAGTTCAGTCATCACACTTTAATGTCCCCCGTCTTCAGCCTTGCTCCTGGCCAGTCTATCCCTTTAACCTCCAATCAGCGAAGTTTTGAAAACATGTACAATCTTGTCCCTTGCCTGCTTAAGTCTATTGGCTTCTCCATTTTTCCTTGTATGAACTGTGTAGACCGTCATCTGACCTTCGGGGTTTCCTGCGTCCACCTTGTCTCTGGGCAGTCTGTCTCAGAGTGGACACTTTTAGCCACCAGATTTATGTCATACCTTGGTCCACCTTTGTGTGTTGTCTTCCCACTCGCAGGCCGCCTCTGCTCCCAGTTCAACCCTCACTACCCAGTTGACTTTAAAGTGGACCCGAAGCCGCTCCTTACACAGCATCCGCTTCGTGTCCTCATATGCTTAGTTTTTGCCTTGTTTTCTTAGTGAAGATTTATTGTAAAGAGAGTCCTGTTTGTCCAATTTGATACTGTGTCCCCTGTGTTCTGTACCAGTGATTTCTCACCTGTGACACACACATCACTAGCAACATCACCATTCCCTGGGAATTTGCTGCTAGAGAAAATTGTCACCTGTAGTCCTAGCCTTCAGGAGACTGAGGCAGGAGAACTGCTCTAAGTTTGAGGCCAACTTAGGCTACCTGGTGAGTTTCCGGCCAGCCTGAATGTTTTTCTTTTACTCAGACAGAAGGCTTTTTAACTCAAGGGAGTAAGTAATTTTTTCTTATTGAGGCCTTCAGCTGGCTGGAAGAGGCCCACTCCCGTCACGGAGAGCAGTCTGTTCCATTCTGTTTACTGAGGTACTAGGCTCATCGAACACAACTTCACAGAAACACCAACAGTGCTTGGTGGAATATCTGGGCACTGTTGCCCAGGCAAGTTTGCATGTGCAGTTAAATGTTACACTGCACATGTGTGATCAGCGTACGGTCTTCTAACCTAGTTTTAAGAATTATGCAGTAATGGACACATCTGTAAAACGTTGCTGCACCAAGGCTCTGGGAACACTGTTGAAGAAGGGCAGAGAAGACCGTAAGAACCATTGGGTCAGGGAGTTTGCTGTAAAACCGTCTCCTAGTAATGTCAGAAGCTACACCCATAAAATCTCACCAGCATCACTGCCTAAACATGAGCTGAACAAGGACGGTACCAGTGGACATGCCAAAGTGGGTGGAGTAGGCCTCAACTGTACACAAAGAACTGTGGGCAACCAAGGGAAGCTGGAAGCAGGAGAGAGGTGTCCTTCCCCAGCGAAGAGCACATTAGTAAACTGTCCAGTGCCAACTGATCAGCCCTGAAAACATACATACAAGTAACATTATATAGACTGAGCAGTTGTATTTAGGAATATATATGTAATAATAATTTGTGCAAAAGAGCCTATGAATTCGAAGGAAATCAGGGAGGAGCATATGAGAGACTTTGGAAGGAAAAAAGGGAAGGAAGAAGGGTTGGAATGATATTAAAACCTCAAAAATTAAAAAAAAGTTAAAAATTATGAAAAGGAAGACAAGTCATTTGACATTTTTATATATTAAAAAGTATAGATGGGCCAGTGGTAGCACATGCCTTTAATTAACCCCAGCATTGGGAGGCAGAAGCAGGCGGATCTCTGTGAGTTCAAGGTCAGTCCTGGTATAGAGTGAGTTCCAGGACAGCCAGGGATACCCAGAGAAACCCTGTCTCGACACCCTCCCCCCCAAAAAAGTGACTATAGTAATCTTAAAGCACTAACACATCTAAAAGAATCACAAATCAAAACAGTGAGTTTACAATTAACCTTTTATACCAAATCTGTGAAAAAATATTTTGTTTTGTGTGAAGCCTTTGCAAAGATCCTTGTGCACAGCCTCTTAAAATGAGGTTTAAGAGATGTGATGTGATAGACTGCATGCTGTTGTCTTGAAGCTCATCCTCACTACATTGAACTCAGCAGACATTCAATAAATACTTTCTGCTAGTTGCTGAGACGTGTAAGACAGGCTTTCAACAGCACAAGGAAGTACTAACTAACTGCTTCACTTGAGATACAGATGAAATGACCTGTGTCATCTACGAGAGAATATGTCCTCCTGTGTAAAAGAATTTACATGTAAAAAAAATCATTTCTGGCTTATCACTAGTGGTCATTTTTATTGACAAAGATAAAACATACTTGATAAAATGAATAGTGCTTAAGGAAAGTTTGGTCTCTCTCTGTCTCTCTGTCTCTCTCTGTCTCTCTCTCTCTCTCTCTCTCT